CGGCCCACGTGAATCGAATTTCAGCGAAGTTAAGCGACAGTGGGCACGGCCACCCCCCGGATAGGGTGACCCCGGTCAGCCCCAATCTGAAGAAAAGAAACCGAAACCAGAAATACCACTGAAATGGTACCAAAAATCCCCCGAAGTACCTGGAAAGTGTACCGCGAGACCTGATCACCTAATCTAAAATGATTTCAACTCCTTTTTCTATTTCAGATAAATTCAATTCAGCGAAATCCTCGAATGGGGAGGAAAAAAAAAGGTGGAACGACTCGACAATGTTAATGGTCTTCGCAGATTTCTCGTAATTGGGCAGTGCTGTAACGAGGGATCTCCCTGAATATGGAAGTTCCTGAGAAAAGATGGTGAGAGAGAGGTTAGGTTAGGGGGTTGGAATTGGAAACATTTCTAATAAGATCTTGCGGGAACGCCCGGAAAAGCGGGAACAGAGGACCATCCAGATTCCCTGGGGAACTTCACCTCGCATTCGGCCTCGGAACTCCGAGATCCGTCCGCGGCTTAATAAGCAAGTCTAACAAGGGACAATAAGCGAACAACTTCTTCCGACCGAGGAGGGATGTCGGATATTTTCCCGGAACAACCGGGATTACTTGCCGCCTACGGAGGGAAGTCGCGAATCCCTATCCCAAGTTCGCCGAGGGAGTCGAGCCGCGAGTACCGATTGCAATTGCAATTGGCACGACGAGGAGTAACCGAGAGGCCTCGTGCTCACTTCGGTCACTTCTTCGTGGTTGTTTCCTCGTCCTGGAGGCTTCCCGCCCCTTTCCCTAGGATTTTCCCCTCCAGGATTACTTATAGCCACGCGAGGGATACCTTTGCCCCGACGTAATATATCGCCGGGACTTGTACTCCTTGCAGATGGGTCTCACCAGACTAATCGCGCCGATTAATTCTTCCCTGCATCCCGGGCCACCCTGGGGACCCGGCGATCGTGTTTGCAGTGCTGAACACTTTTTCGGCATTTTTCTGGCCCGCAAAAACCTCGCCAACGCGGAACTCCTCTGTCGGGAATAAATCGGGATTAATGTTCACCCGAGGTTAATGGGATGTATAAAAATCCCATAAACGAAACATTGGAGAGGGACGGTAGAAAATGAGATAACGCGGATTTCCACTGTTGCTGATCAATCTGGAGCAATTCTGAAGGAATTTATACAATTATGGGAAATATCCCATCCTAGAGTCGAAATGCTCGGCAGAGTTTCGCGCCAAATACGTCTCGCGTATATTTTTAACCAGTAATTCAGTCATTCGGGTGTTCAGTCAGGAGTAAATTCGATGACGGGTCTCCAGGGTGGTTTCCGGCTTACTAGGCTGGCGCCAACGTTAACCGAATCAGCACCTAGTGACGCAAATACTGTCATATAATGACCACGGTAATCAAGGGTGGAATTATGTAGAAGGCAGCTCGTCACGAGGCACCGAGGTGGAAGGTAAATGGGAGTAACGCAGAGGCAGGTGGGGGGGGTGAGTCCGATCGCGCAAGAAACCCCTAACCCGGGGATAGAAAAGTACGGGGGAAATCTAAATCCAGCGGCGTAAAATGGCCCGACCCCATATAATAATGAGGCAAAATAATGCGGAATATTAATTGGAAAATTATTTCCCCAGATGGGGAGGGCTTCGGAGAGGAGAGAAAAACCGCGGCCGATCCCCTGAATAAGGGAAACAAAGGGTGGAGGAGATGGAGAGGGACAATTTCCTTTCCCTCCAGAAGGGATGTACGAGACAAAGGGAGAGACTGGAGAGAGACGGGGCGAGAAGGACACCGAGGGGCAGCTCGGTGCGAAATACCGTCCGGAGCGAGGGGAGGGACGCACCCTGTATATAGACAGGTGAGAGAGGAAAAAAAATGCACAGTCGTTTAAATGCAAATCGCTGCAGCAAACACCGCGTCGAGGGTGGCCGGGTGAGCGGAAGGTGCAACTTGTTCTTCCTGCCAGCAGGGGTGCACCTTCGCAGGGGTGGCTTGGTAGCTAATGCGACCGGACCGAGTACGCGAGCGACGATGCGGGGAATTATAACTGACGCTGGGGAAGAGGGCTGGAAAAGCCGTGGAATCAATGGGGGTGCAGACAGAGGGGGTTGAAATCGACGTCGGATAAGTAACGCGAGGAAGTAAAACTCCACTCTCCGTTGAAGAAAATAAATAGCTAAGAACTCAAATCGAAATGCCACTCCGCCTCACGGTGAAATGGTATGTACAATTGAACACATAATGGGTATAATTAAGTACATAATATATATAAATTGGAATAACCCACACAACGTTCTTCCCTTCTTATCCACCAGGGAGTACGCGAAGACAAGTGCAGGGAACAAAAAGTGATTCAGACTTATCCTGTAGGAATTCCTCGGGCAGAAGGTGCGGAAACGAAGAAATGGCTCGGATAAGGTTACGCGTTGTTATCGCGCCCTCTTTATGGGGTGCCTGGGGGTGAAACGACGAAGCGGGGTAAGGATCGCCGCGGCGGCGTTGCGAACAACGGGCCCGTTCGAAACGGTAACGGGCGGCGTCGGAGCTGTCGATTTTTCGAGGGAATAACGGCCCCAACGACCGGTGAGGGCCAGGGCGGAGGAGGGGGGAAAAAAAAATGAAACAATGCTGCCGAGAGCGAAACGTTTACCCGATCGGCCCTCGTGAAATAAAATATACAACGCCCGACGGGTCCCCGTTGGCCGATGGTACCGGAAGATAAAGCGCCGCTTTAAAAACGCCCCCAACCCCCGTTGCCGCCGCCGCGGCATGAAGGGGATTATTTGCCCGACATTCGAGACCTTTTTGCCCTTCGAAGAGCCTCGATGTCGTCAATTATTCAAATAATACCGCGGGCAAAATCCACGGTAATTTGGCTGAAACCGCGACCGACCGCGGCGGCCATTTTGGTACCGCTTTGGCGAACGATTTTCGCGAAACCTCTCCTTTAATTAATATTTCCCCCCGATGGTTTTGGACACTTGCGATCTACCGCGCTGACTAGGTCCAGATTAGCCGATAATTCCCCATTTTTAAATCTAGTCTACCCTTTGGAGAGGGCGACGGAAATCCCGTCGAAAAAGGGGAGGCTGTTGACTCTCGACGGCGGGCTTCGTTATACGAGCTCGGTTCTGTAACTCACGCAATTATGATCGATGACAGGGTTGGCTAGAGTAAGGATCGACCAAACAAGTCCGTATCGGTCCGCCGTTGTCCGGGACCTTCGCCTTTAACGCTGGAATCGATCATCGACCTTCGGCCGATGGTACGGCCTAAGAAGCGCGCACTCCACCTTTGCATACTGCGTCTCGGAAAACGACACGAGACTTCCGGAAGTATCGAAATGACCAGTGCCAGTACAAAGTGAATTTTAAAATTGACAATTGCTAATCCGATTTAATGCATCATTTGCTGTTATCGACGGAAGACGAGGCGCTCTCGAGGGAACGTCCTAAGAGGAGGCGCGAGGGGTCGGATTATTCGGGGGGGAAAAAAAATAAGGGAAATAGGAAACAGGGAATAAATTTCGTCCACACCCCGAATTTTCCGAAAAGCACCCTCGTGGGGCGTGTCTATATATTTCGGCGTCACGTTTCGCCCCCTACCCGGTTTCGAAACTTTGCCAAACCGAGTCCGGTCTCGAGAGGACCACGAGCCTCGCCTCCGTCATACCCTCCACCAAGGCGATCCATCCAATTTCCAATTACCATCGATAATTCACCATCTCTTCCACCATCCTCCCACGACCTCGTCTCGATCGATCTTGGGGAAGCCACTCGTACGAACGAGGTCGGGCCGGATTTTTGACACCTTTTCTCTGCGCCAAGGAGTCCGCACGCATTGCTTCAAGTGTCCCCTCTCCCCATAGAAAACGTACACCGTTTAACCCCATTGTTACGTCTACATCTTTACACTCTCCTGCTCTCCCTAAATCGTCAAATTTCTAAGGCACACATAAAGGGGCATGTAACGGGCTCTTAACAATACCTTCGAAATTCCATGATTACCGATTAACACGTTTACATTTCTTTTCCCTAAAAGGGGTGGTTCAACCCCAATTCGTTGATGAGAGAGGAGCACCGCCAGGGACAAACACCCCGATAAAAAGTAAACCCCCGGCGTTGACGTTCGACTTGGCGACCTCCGTGTAAACATCGGCCCCTTTGCGCGCGACTTCGGCAAGTTCTTCGGCCTGTAAACAGCGTCTTCGGGGCGTAAAGATGCGGCGAGGGATCGATTCGCGGGGGCGACCGCGAGGGCAAGAAGAGGGACCGGTCGCGAGGGAGGCCGGAGCACCCCATCGGGTTCCTGGGGAGGCAAGAAGCGGGGCGCAAAACCGGAGTCGGGGCGTCGTCATCAGGGTCGGCCGAGTCCTGGCCGAAAATCCGGGGCAAGACGGGGCCAGGAGCGTCCCAGTCGGTCTCGAAGTCGCGGTGGCGTCCCTTTCGGTCCCTCTCCCCCTCCTCCCCCGGCACCCTCGGGACCCTCCGGGGGCGCTCCACCCTGCGGCCGCGTGGGGCGCGCTCCGGGCTGCAGCCGGGGGTGGCGGCGGTGGCGGCGGTGCGCGTGCGCGCCTCGTCGGCCGGGCCGAGCCTCGAAGAGGCGCCACTCCCGAGCGCGGCTTAGCGCGGGTGCGACCGAAGTGTCCCGGACATGTCCCAGGGCGGCAGGAGGTCAGCGACGAGGAACCGGGCCACCACCGGCGAGGCCGGGCCGCACCAGGAGCACGAGTCCTAGGCGGGGCCAGCGGGCCAGGTGTGCCAGGGGGCCAGGTGGGCCCCGCAGGTGCGACCGGTCCAGGGTGGCGACTACGGGGGTGGCGGCGCCGGCCGCCGCGGTCCTCGACCGCCCAGCGACCTGAGTCCCGGGGCGCGCCCTCCGGATTACCGGAACACCGGGACACCCCTGGAGCCCCCTCCAGGGGCCGACCTAGTGCGTGAGTGCTCACCAGGGGAGAGCCGAAGACATGACCGGCGCCTCCGAGCTCGGCTACCTCAGGCTCCATGCCGCCTCCTGGAGCTGCGCTCTCCTGGCGGCCATTGTTCTGCTCCTGCCAGCCACGCACCGCACGCCCTTCGCCCACGCCGCGTAAGTACCTCTCTTACTTCTCGACTCCGTTTCCCCGGGTCTGCGGTTTCTCCTCGGGGCCCGGAGAGGCACGTGAGACACCCTCCAGGGCGGCTCCAGCGGGACCAATCGGCACTCGCGTTTCTTCGGATTTTCGAATCGTCGAGCTACGCGGTCTGACAATTTTCGAATTCGTGGGTCGTGACGTGACGGGCGAGGTGGGGGATGTTTTGGAGCTGATAGGTTATCCGGGAAAGTCTTACGAGTCTTTCTTATCAGCCCTTATCCTGTAGCGATACGCGATCAGACCCCAGGACCTAGACCTCGATCCAGGATTCGCGCTTAATGACGCGTACGTCGCGGAATAATTGCCAACTCTCGATCTTGCTCCCGTACTCCAGTACTCTATGTACCCCTCGAAGACCCGATTGATAATGACAAAGCGAGGCTTCGTCTGAATCTCTTGCGACCCATCATCGATAACTGATAGGGACCGACGTAACCGGATCGCTCGCGTTACTCTGTACGTAATGAGACAAAAGCCACGTGATGTCAGATGCCAATTGACAAGGGACTTACATCCCCACCTTCTCAAATGTACCCGCGATAAATTTCATACGCCGCTCCCGATAACTTTGATGTGGCGTTTCTTATTTACAACCCTTGCCAGGTGTCGGTGCTCGGGATCTCTTGATTTTTGACAAGGAACTTCGCTTTCGAAGTGCTCGATCTACACCTGCGATAAATCCGATCCGACGTTTCCGACATTCATGGCGCTGCATATTTACAACCCTCCTACTTATCGGCACTTGGAGTCCTATTGAGATATACAAATGACCCCACCGTGGGAAAAGTTAGGGAAATCCTCTTCTCACGCTATTCCGGAAGGGAAAATCGACGGCGCTCTCGAAGTTCCGGGAAATTTCGGGCTTCGGGAAAGATTGCGTTAATTGGCGAGCACGTCACGGTGTCGGGCTCTCGGTACTCGGTACAGGGTGCAGTCAACTTCGAGGGAAGTCACGCGATCCGCACTTAAATTCTACCTCGAGAGCGATGACTGTCACGAGGGCCGAGGGGGACGGAAGTTCCGGAATTTGACAGCGGATGGACGGCCGATCGCGAAGGTTTCTCGGCTCGGAATTCGGGAACTTCGCCAGCCCGGAAAGATTGCGATAATTAATGGACATACTCCTGCCAGTCGGGAATCGCGAGTCCTCCGAACATCCTGCCAGTCGGCTAACTTTCCAGAATTTCGTTTACATGAAGTTACCCGGGTGTAATAACCGGAAGCCCGGATCGAATCTCAAGGGCCCACTTCGGGAAAGGAAGTCCCTAATTAAAATTACATACATTCCTCTCTGCGTACTCGGGCAAAAGTCTAGCCATCGTCGCACGCAATGGTAATTAATAAAAGGGAATTCCCGCCGAGTCGGGAAATCAGATTAAACAATTAAATCCGAGGACTATCGAGCTGTGCAAGGAGTCCCCTGAGACGTTTCCGACATTTTCAAACTCCCTAAAATTATAATCTTTCTTAATAACATTTCATCAACGAGATCGCTACCGCACTCCCGACGTCGTCCCTATTCGAGGAAGAGAATTTTCCCCCCGCGAGTGCATTTATTAAACAATTAAGCCATTGATAACATCACTCCATCGATCCTTCGATCCGCACTAGAAGTCATAAATCGGGAACTCAGTATACAATTTTCAACAAGATACGTTTCGATGTAAAAAGAATTCCAATAACACAGGCGCGTTTATTAAATCCTTTAAATTAAAAGTTCCATTCCTCCGATCAGCTGATCGACGCATCCGAGATTTAAATGGGGAGTTCTTTCAGGAAATTCTTAACATTGACGTCGTTTCCGCTGGGATAATAAAATGATCACTATGCAAGGGTGTTCATTAGACAGTGTAGATTAATAAGTTCATCCTTCCGGTCAGCTGATGCGACGACAGGGGAAGGGGGGCGACGTTTTGGGGGGAAATTCATAACGAGACGCGCACCATGTCCGGGGCGGGGTGTTCGCGCCATAAATCCGCGATATGAAAATACGCGGCAGATGTCGAGTCTCGGGCATATCTGGTGTACGCAGATTGTCGCAATATGACAAGACGCGAGACAGCTGATTCGTCGTCGAAGCCGTCGACGGCATTGACAGGCGAAAGAGGGAAAGAGAAAGAGGGAGAAGTCGGCCTCTCTTCGGGCCGGGGTTGACTTTTGACGTCGGCGGGGAAAGTTGGGCGGGAAATAGGTCAGTCTTGACATTCTCGGGCGTCGGTCGGCCAGGAAAATAAGGTTAAAAGGACGGAAGTGTCGTCGCGACGCCGAGGGCTGCGCCGCTCCAGGGGAAACGGATCGCGCCGATTGGTGGCTCGACTGGAAACGGATCGCGCACTTCCCCCGAATTTATCGCGCGATCCGTAAGACGTCAAGGGCCGCTCTCGACATACTTATTTTCGCCTTTTCACCCCCCTCCGTCCCAGCGAAGTGCGACCGCAATTTTCCGGAAAACTCCCCCGCGGAATCGGAAAATAAATCTCCCGATATCTCCTCTTCGAGTCGGCCTTAAGACGCCGAATTCGCGAGGAGAGTTCCCGACTCAAAGGGAACGACCCGCGATCGATATCGCGCACTTTACCCTCGAATCTAGGCAAAACTTCCCTCCTTCGTCATCTGACATCGCCCCCTCCTCCCCCCTTTAAATCCCGGTAAAACGGAAATTAACGAACACGGGTGTGCGCGTGTACGCGGTACTCTACGTCGCTTTAATAAATCGGCAGGAGGGTCTTCCTCTTCTGGGGCCCTCGAAAGAATGTCGAAAATCCACCTCGAGTACGCGAAATGTGTCTGAACGGAAGCTCGGTAAAAGAGCGTCAATGAATGTTTCACGGCTCTCCCGGTTTTTAATTTATGTTTTTAAGTTAAAGTCGCGCGCCACTCGGGGGGTTGTAAAAGCACTTCCTCCCCCTGCGGCCCTCCACCTGGATATACGGAGTAGGTGCACGCGAGTACACTCGCCTGCGAGATTATGCGCTTCGATGTTATTGCTGCTGGCTCGGCACTGTACCTCCCACTCCACCCACCGGTGCGAAGTGGGGGGTATATTCCGCTATAAACGAATTTACATACCAGCCTCGTCGTACCCTCAACGAGCACCCTCGCCTCGGTGCTTATTACTGAAATCATAGGAGCACCGAATTCCGAATTTCCGGGGAAAAAATCCCCCTCTACGTGCCACCGAAGTTATCCGCCGATTATGCGCTTTGATGTTATTGCTGCTGGCTCGGCACTGTACCTCCCACTCCACCCACCGGCGCGAGTGGGGGGTATATTCCGCTATAAACGAATTTACATACCAAGCCTCGTCGTACCCTCAACGAGCACCCTCGCCTCGGTGCTTATTACTGAAATCATAGGAGCACCGAATTCCGAATTTCCCGGGAAAAAAAATCCCCCTCTATGTGCCACCGAAGTTATCGCGCCACTGAAATTTCAAGCTCCCGGAATATATGCTCCGGCTTTTATTTCCGGGCGTGTAATTAAACTTACAGTACGCGACAGGGGCTTGCCATTCAACTCGCGCTGTGTACGGCCGGTTATTGAAAAAAGTTCCCGGCTGTCTCTCCTCTAGCGTAATCGCGAACTCGAAACTCCAAATGCGAGACTCCGTTCGGCTCTAACCGTCATGATAAAATTTAAGGGAGGATGACATTAAGGGTGACGAAAGAAAAACCAAAATTAAGTTCCACGAAAAGGTTGAAATTACCCCTTACCACTACATGAAATACTATCTCCCCGAATCAAGAGTCGCGGTATAAAAATTCGAATTCACGATTTTTTACTTGTATTAAACATCTCGGAGGAGATGATTAAGGGGGTGTGAAAGTGGCAATTAAGGGTCGATCGTCCGTGACAACATTTCTCCGAACTAGGTGCACCGAATAATTTCAAACTTTACATCGTTAATATTAAGGCTATAAGGAAGGTCTTGACATACATGAAATTTCATTATTTATAAAAGGTATTGAAAATGTCAGTAAACAAATTTGGAGAAAAATTGAAATCTCGTAGGTGTAAGGATCTTTGTTACGGCCTTTAAATGAATATAGTAAAGTTGGAAAGGATTCGGCACGTCTGGTTCGGAAAATCAGTTTCGTAAACGGAATCCCTAGATGCCTCTTTCGCGTCAACGAGAGTATCTAAGACTTATCAACCGGTGATAACGGAGGGAAGGCAGTAATTCGCGGATCGTTCGTCGTCCTAGGTCATTGAATTTCCGCAGGGAAGTCAGGATGGCTCCGATTATCAATATTTACCCTCGTCCCTCTCCTCCTCACCTCTAGCTGTTTCCGCTCTTCTGCCGGGAGTCTCCCTCGGCCTCTTCCGGCCTACAAGTAGCTACCGACCACAGAAGCCTGTAGTGTAGTATCAGTGATCGCAGTAGAGCTCTCGAGCAAGAGGGTGCTCCCGACGTGGCAGAGCTCCAAATCCCTATCCCACCCCCTCCCCACGTCGGATCTCCTGGCCGAAAAGTGTCTCCTCCTTCGACCACTCTTAGGGGGCTATCTCGTACAACCCTTTCCGACATTCCGTTGGAGCCACCGGACCATTTCTCCTGGGCCACTCCCAGCGGCCAATAGCAGCCTCTCCACCCTGAGGCTAACGATGCGGTAACACATGTTACAATGACACCCAGCCCGGGGTGCATCCGACTCCTGAGGAAGGCTTGACACTCAAACTGATTACAAAGATATTACTTACTCCTGATAACGTATAGAAATATCAAGAGGGATGGCGAGATTTCATAAGCGAATTTATCGGGTCCGATTTTCCGATCTGGCTTGGTCCTCTTTTAATATCCGATTATTAATATCGCTCTCATTTTTTGATAACGTGTTTAACTATCGAGCGATTCTATAAGGAGGTGCAGTCATTTGTGGATTCGAATTTTTTTTCATTTTTTTTTTCTCCTCATCAGATAGGAGAAATTGACCAAAAGTCACGTAGTACTCTA